TGCTGACAGCTTTTTTTTTTTTTTTGCCAGACAGGAAGTGGGGAAAGTTATGTTCCAGCAACACATTCAGAAATAAACTGACAGATTGAGCAGGACATAAAGTAAAGGTAAATCTCTCAAAAGGAGCCCCAGATATCTAAAATTCTGAAAGACTTCCTTACCTTCTCTTTACTACTAATCAAAACATTTTGTCTAACCCATACTGAAGTACACAGGCATATTGGGCAACACAGTGGCTAAATGGTTATCACTTCCACGTGGCAGTACTAGGGTCGTTGGTTCGAATCCCAACCCTGGCACCACCAGCCTGGAGTTTGCATGTTCTCCCTGTGCCTGCGTGGGTTTCCTCCCACACTCCAAAGACATGCTGGTAGGTTAATTGGCTCCTGTCTAAATTGTCCCTAGTATGTGCATGTATGAGTGTAAGTTAGGGACCTTAGATTGTACACCCCTTGAGGGTTAGGGACTGATGTGAATATAATGTATATGTAAAGCGCTGTGTAAATTGACGGCGTTATGTAAGTACCTGAAATAATTAATGCCAACAAGATCGTGCAGAACAAGTATTGTCCATACACTGTACACATGTAACATTTTACGTGAGCGCAGCATATATGGACACTATTGGCCACCGCCACTGCTTGGGGCTGACATGTAAATATCAACAATTTGTAGCCAGCAGTGCAGCTGATTGCACCCTATTGGGACTTACACCTCCCCCTAATTAGGTTATTCATGCTCAGAATGACCCCTGCCTGTTCTGAATGGCTGAAGGCCCAGCTCATCCTGACTGTGATCTACCACTACATAAATTACTTATTCATGTAAACATCAATGGTGTGTAATCGGCATTGGTGGCATCACTGCCTACATAAGGTTGGTACATATGTGTCAACCCTAAATAGTGGCAGCTGCAAGTAGTGCATGTAAATGTTGACACAAATGTTTACATGTATACAGCATAAAATACAGTCCATACACAGAACTGTGAACACAGACTGTTCTAATTTAGGTTTATGCAGCTAAAAGTTGCAGACCAACAAGAAGCAGTTTGAATGGGCCCCATTGTATAAAGTACTGCTGCATTCAGATCAGGGTGGATTTGATTTAAATCACGATTTCAATCACTAGTCAGTAAGGCTTGATTTAAATCAGTTTTCTACATAAAGACTAATTCTTGCTGGTATAACTTTAATATACAAGTAGATGAAGATTTTTAGAATAACAACTTTTCATATTAGTTTTTTTATCCCCAGTTTAATAGGTTAATCATTCATATTTGGACAACTTTTCTGTTGTACTTAGGAAGGAGAAAAATAATCATTACCTTAATAATAACTATTTAAATAGATTTATTCAACTGAAACAATAACATTCCAGCATATGTGATTTGCTTAAACATCCATGTTTGGTAATTAATTTGGCTAAACAAAATATATATATTTTAAGAACCTTAGACTGTCAGCCCCTTCCTCCTCACACTTAGTTTCACTTTCTTCTTGTGCAGATCTATTCCACTCCAAACAATCAGAAAAATATTGTTTCTATTCTATTCACTGAACTTCTTGAAACTTGGCACTGAAGGGGTTGATTCTGTATTCATAGGTTTGTAGAAGTTAGGATGAAGGTCTTTTTCTTAACTCTGTTCATGTTATAACATTTTTGCTGTGAAGAAGAGGCATGTGATCTCCGCTGAGTCAAATTCAGTTTTGAGAACTGCAAAAGTAAACCAATCATCTGTGATAATATCTTGTAGGCAGAGAAACTGCCCAATAATCTTACAAAAACCTCTGGAAGAGCATGACATTGTGAATGGATCATGGAATTTATTTACCAAAAAAATTAAACATATACAGCCTTATTCTACATAATTAAACTAATCTTTATTTCATAATGGAATAACCTTTGGATGGTAATATATTCTCCTCAAAAAGCATTTTATTTAAAAAAAAATCCTATTTAAATAAAAAAAATCCCATTTTTTTTTTTTTTTTTTTTTTTTTTTAATCATTGATTTTTATCCACCCTGATTCAGATACGTATAAATTGAATCTGTACATGTCTATGTGCCCTAAAGAATACAGGGTTTATGGTATTTAGCCATTAGAAACAGGTGATGTAAAATATTTGTCTGATAAACAATCAGTCAAGAACTTCTTGATAAAAAAATAATGTTCTTTAACAAGGAACATACATTAAAGTGATTCTAAAGGATTAATTAAAAAAAAAAAACAAACATGTCTATACTTACCTTCTGTGTGCAGTGGTTTTACACAGAGCAGCCTGGATCCTCCTCTTCTTGGGTCCCCTGCCGGTGCTCCTGGCCCCTCCCTCTTGTCACGTTCCTCCACCACAAAGAGCCTGCTATGGGAGCACCTGAGAATGCACTCTCTCCAGCTGCTGCTCCGTGTGTCCATTCATGACATGGCTCCGTGTGTGAATGGACACTCGGAGCAGCAGCTGGGGAGTGTGCATGCTTGGGTGCCCCCATAGCAGGCTGCTTGCGGTGGAGGCACGTGACAGGAGGGAGGGGCTAGGAGCATCAGTGGAGAATCCAGGCTGCTCTGTGTAGAACCACTGCACACAAAAGGTAAATATAGATATGGTTTTTTTTTAATTAAGCCTAAAATGCATGAAGGTAAAAAAAACCTTGAGCCTTTACAGCCAGTTTAGTAATTATGCTACTAAAATTAGTGTGTGCTGTAAATTGCTTCCAGCATTGCTCGCTTCTGTTTTTTTTTCTTTTTGCTGGAGGCAGTTGTTTTGCTGAAGCCCAGAGCTGCATTTTTCTTTAGGTTGTCAGCAGATCGGCCTCTACATTTTCGACACGGTAGCGAAAAATAGAGAGCAACTGAGCATGTGCAGAGCAGGGTGATACAGGGTCTTACTGGTTTTTAAACAGTATAGGCACTTATTTTTACCATTTTACATGGCTAGACCTGCAAAAGGGGCCAGCATGAAGTGATCCTGCAGGATTTTAAGAATAAATTCACCTATTTAGAACATGTTACATGCTCCTCCCGTTTTTAGGGTTGAACATGTAACATGTTCACATAGCTGCAGCTTCCTCCCGCTGCTCCCCCTCCCTCTAACAGATAGTGTGGGGAGACTTCTCCCCATACTATCTATCTGTCAAATTTTGCAAACAGGGCAGCCATGCAGGGCTCCTCCCACACACACAGCCTCATCATTCATTCAATAATGAACTGTTATCCCTGACAGCCTTAGAAGCTGTCAGCTTGTAGTTTCCAATGAAGTAGCACAACGCTGTGGAGCGCCGTGGTCATTGAAGCTTCCTGTCAGAATATCTGCTTGCTCGTACATCCTGTACGGCATCAGATATGGCAGGTCTGCAGGAGACCTGCATGGCATCAGTGATCTATTGATCGCTGGTGCAATGCTGTCCAGGCCCCTGTAGACAAAAATAATAAATGCACACTTTTTTTTTTTTTTTTTTATCTGCAAAAAATGTATATTTATTATTTTTGTCTAAGACTTTCACTGGGTAGCAAACGATCAGTGAGTATAGAATGCATGCTTCTGCTTAGCTTTGTGCAGTTTCACACTAATTATTTTCATAGAACAAGTGTCTAATTCCCCCACCCCACTTCTAACAATTGTGAAATCTTTTATGAATAAGATGGTATTCTGCTGTGGCAGTTATCCTTTAGGATGTCTGGTATGGTGTTTATTCTTTCTGTATGTCTCTTTTAGACCAGTGTTTCTCAACCTTTTTTCAGCCATGGCAGCCTTTAAAATTCTGTACAATTTAGAGGCAGCCTATTAAGAGATGTAAAAAACTGAGCAAACAGTTTTACACACTGTACAAGCATCCACACACCCAACATTGTAGGTGATTTATTCTTTCACAGCAAATACACCTTTGTCCACTGGTACTGACTGGTGTTTCTCTTCTCTCTGTTTCTCTTCCTCAGTTAGCTAAAGTGACCCCAATGCTAATGGCAGCTGGCCAACCCCGTGCTCAAGGTTGTAATGCTGCACAATAAAAAACCTGTGGCCCTTTGTAACAAAAAAGTTAGTCTTGGTCCACTTACCGGCATATTTACAATTTTTGGGCAATTTTTAGACGTTATGCCGAGGCACCCCTGAAGAACCCAGGAAGCACCGTGGTTGAAAAAGGCTGTTTTAGAGTGCGTCATTGCCTATGACTAGAAGCTAGGCTGTTATTGCAGAAGAGACCGTGTGTCTCTTATGCAGCAAAAGCTCATTTTCTGCCTGACACCATTTTTCTTCGACTTGTACAGTGAGCCACACAGCTCAGTGTACAATCTCAGCGTGCCTTGCGTCCCCAGACAAAGTAACTTTCCATTTGCATGTGCGGGAATTATGTCATCCAAGGCAATTTGCATGTTTAAGGATGACAAACCAAGAAGACCAGGCGAGATGTCAGTGGTGACAAGGGAGGCTGTGGATGTTGCATCGCTTGAGATAAGTGCTTTGCAAGGTAAGTGTGCCATAATGTACAAGCATGTTGTGCATATTTGCTTGTTATAGCAAGAGCCCAGCCACCACTTAGCAGACTTTAGTTCTCTTTAACATTAAATCAGGCCTACTAATTATTCCTAGTATTTTGTTTTGCATAGAGTTGGGAAGGTTTTCACCATCTGCCATTGATCGATCTCTTCTAAAAAATACTAGACTCGAAGTCTGAATAAATGTAATTTTTTAATAATTGATTTGTTTTGAAACAAGATGGCATAAAAATTATGGTGTATAAGCAAAATGAGCTCTGTTGGAGACTTTCAATTAACGCATCTGTTCAGCATCTTCCATGTTTGTCCAACGACCAGTTCAGGACTCTGAAATTCAAACCATACAATTTTCTGACTACTTCTTGCCATAAAGCTTGTGGATTTGTACCTCTGACAAACAAGATCTTTCAGTCTGTATTTTTGTACCATAAAAACTATATTAATTTTTATTCATGGCGGACACTCAACTGCATTCTTCATCTGCCCTTTTTCAGTAATCGAAGGTGACCCCGTGGGATTCATGGCTGTTGTCATCTACGGAGATTACAAAGAGTGATTTTCCAGGCAGCTGCCATCTCAGCTTCTAAATGGGCATGGAGTAAACCTCCTCTTCAACTTGGAAGAAGTTACCTTTTAAATTCGGCCAGCGGCACTAACCAAAATGATTTGGGTCATCGGGAGTCTTCAGATGCCTTCGACGCTACTACATATACCAGTCAAATTACTGACAATAAGAAAAGAATTGAAGAAAATGAAGCTATTTCCTTCGATGATTACCCAGTATATGATTCTGTACCACCAACAAAGACAAATGCTACAAGCCCACAAATTTTACTTAAAGACAAAAAGATAGGCTTGAACCGAGATCACCGAGAGCTACCTAGATCTAGAAAAAAGTCAACAGCTCCTGAGAACAAAATCTATGATGATGTAGAAATTTTTAGTACTTTGGAAGATCCCAGAGCTTTTCAGCAGCATAGACCAGAATACAAATCAATGTGCTACAACTGCGAGTGTCCTATGGAAACCTCTATCGAGGAAGGTGAAAGCATTCTCCAAAGAGTTACTAGTAGCCTCACATCCAGCGAAGTTTCAGAATTTTTAGAAAAATTGAGTTATTTACCTAAAGAAAAACTGGAGGCTATCAAATCAGATGCACAATTTAAAATGCTCTGCAGATGCAGCACTTCATACCTTCGCTCGTACACAAACTCAGAAATCATCAGGATTCTTGGTGCTTTTGTACGTTTTGGAATTTCCTCACTCCACCTCTTGATAAAAAAATATGAGCAAGAATTCTGCCTTAGAGTCTGGCATTTCTCTACCAATGAGTTGTTGCTCGTGGCAGATAGTTTTAGGTATCTGCGTCTTGACGTGTCAAAGTTCTTGGACATCATGTATGGCTGTATGCAGCTACGTTGTTTGGACTTAAACTTGCCCCAGCTAATGCAGCTGATCTATATTGTCGGTGAGGGGAGGCATGCACCAGAAGAATTGCTAGAGAAAATTGAGGCAATGGTTCTGAAGTATCTAACGTCCCTTAACATTGAAGAAATCGGTACAGTCTGCCTTGGCTTTTTTAAAACTAGCAACGGATTATCGGAACACCTCATGGAACGATTTGGCGATATCGCTGTAGAAAATATGGAGCAAATGAGCAATTACACCTTAGTGAATATACTTAAAATGTTTAGATTCACCCGTGTTCTCCACAAGCAGTTTTTCAGTCAAGTTGGAAAACATGCCTCTAAACGTGTGCCTGAAGTGACAGCGCAGGGCATCATGCACTTTGTCTTGACCTTTGCTTCAATGCACATTCTTAATGAGGACCTCATGGATGCCGTAGCCTTGGCTATCCCTGATAGGGTTTCTTACTGCAGGAGCAAGGACCTTGCTAAGTTCTTGTGGTCTTTTGGTGTCCTCAAATATGAACCACCAAATTCCGATGTCTTCTACTCTGTTTTTATCAACCAAATCCGTAAAAATCTGGGGGAATTTAAGAGATATCCTGAACATTTCCTTACTTGCTTGATGGGGGCTTGCTTTCTGTCAACAATTCCCATTCGATCTGATAAATATTGTCTTGAGTAAGACGTTCATCATGCACTCAACTAAAATAAGTATGTTTGAACTTAAAAAGGACCTCTTTACTATTGCTGGTACTGTAGGAATAGAATGCCCTCAATACACTGGTAATACTATCTCAGCTGAGTTCCGCAATGAAGTAACAGACATGCTTGTGGCGTTATCATCCCGGGATATTCACACGAGAGCAGAAGTGATTGAAGCTGTATTGTTGTTTCAGCAAGTTTTGGGTGGACCCCAGTATGTAAAGGAACATATGATTTTGCCTCATACTAGGTCAAAAGATTTAGAAGTCCACTTAGATGCGACTAGGAAGCCTGTTGCTATTAATTCTGTTAATGAGAAGCTTGACCGACCTTTAATTAAAAACCGTAATGTTAAAATCACTGATATCCTCATAAGTAAGTTAACAAATAAATCTAATTTAACACCTACCAGCTTAAAGACCAGTGAGGTTGAGAATCTGAAGAATCTCAACATTGTTGAGGACTTGTCAATGACAACCTGCTCTGAGGAGAAGAATGAAAATCTGACTGGCCAGTCTGAGGTCATCAAGTTGGCTATCCAGGTTACCAACCGCAACCAGTACCTATATGGTTCCAAACAACTTTTGGGGCTCCATGCTTTGAAAAGACGTCAGCTGCGTAAATTGGGATACGTAGTGGTTGAAGTGCCCTTTTGGGAATGGTTTCCTCTTGTTAAACGTTCACGATCAGAAAAACTGGCCTACTTGCACTACAAAGTGTTCAGCTCTGTTTAGGTGAAATGATGGGAAACTTGTTTAATAAAATGTTTTATTTGTATTACCATGGTCATATGTCTAGAATTACTTAAAATATAAAGGTTTGATTGCCTGTTTTCTGTTCAACACCCTCCACCTTCTTTTCTCTACATGTGTAAGCAGGAAATTCTAACTTATGTTGAGTCTCTTACCATTGACATTCCTCCGTTCTACCCAAGAAAATATGGGCCGGTTATATCACTGCAGAAGTAGAACTCGAATTCCAAGAGTTGAAAAATATTATGGCCTTGATGTTGTTGTTGGACAAGTATATTTAGACCTCATTCACACGAGATGTATGCATCTGTGCCCCATGTGAGGGCCGTATCTACCCAAACGGGATGCACAGGTTTTCTGTGCAGACAGTCCCATTACTGTCAGTTGGGACGCAGCAGCTGCACAAACGTAGCCACTGCTCCCAATCTGACATACATGTGGGTGCACAGCCCTGAACTCACTGTATGCGTTCGGGGCCATGCAGCACCAGGGAAGCCAGATTGGGAGCAGTGGTTGTGTTCGTGCTGCCACTAGGTCCCAATTATGAGACTGCCTGTCTGGGGAAGCATGGAACACCTGTGCATCCCTATGTGGGGAATATATAGCCCCTCGCATATTGCACAGATGCATACAACACGTGAACAAAGACTTGGTCCCCATTCACATCTGCACATGCTGGGAACGTCCCTGGAAAATTGTTTGTCATACTTGCAGTGCCATTAATTGCTAATGGCAGCCCAAACATGGCTAAGAAACTTTAATTTGTTGTGCACCAAGCTGACTGCCTGAAAAGGTGTGGGAACTTTTAATATGGCACACAGGCCATCCTATCCAAGTAAATGGGATGCCCTTTGCTGACATCTAAAAACATTTTTGGGGCATAGTAGGGAAGAATCCAAATTTGTTGGGTTTTTATGTTTGCCTGTGCCCCCATTTGCAAGATTTTCTCTTACTGCCTGTCCCTGTGATATTTCTGCAAGAAATGTGAGGGTGGCGATAACTGGGCTGGGAAAGCACAGATGTCTCGAAGGCACAGACAGCAATAAAAATGCACCAAAGTTCTAACCCAACTTTGTCATTGTGCCATTAGAGGGATTTCTCATCACTTCCTGGTCAAGAGGCAACAAAATGTTTCCCATTATGTAAAGAAAAAGTCTTTGGGTCTGTGATAATGGCATCAACTTTACATAAACTCACTAAACTTTGGTAAATCATTGTGGTATGTCTTGTATTAAAAGAGGTATAGCCTCCAGAGAGAGAGAGAGAGCATTTTTCCCGGTACAATTCATTAGTAAGACCTCATCTGGAATATGCAGTTAAATTTTGGGGTACATTTGGGGGTATCAATGGTGAAGGATCTGGGAGTTCTGGTAGATCACAAGCTTAATAATGGCATGCAATGCCAAGCTGCGGCTTCTAAAGCGAGCAAAATCCTTTCTTGTATTAAAAGAGGTATAGACTCCAGAGAGAGAGAGAGAGAATTTTCCCCGGTACAAATCATTAGTAAGACCTCATCTGGAATATGCAGTTTAAATTTTGGGCACCAAAAAGAACATTGGGGAACTGGAGATGGAAATCAAACTGACAAGAGGCATGGAGGAGTTCCGCTATAAGGAAACACTAGAGGAATTCAATTCTCTCCTGAGAAGAGGAGATTAAGGGGGATATGATCACCATGTATAAATACATCAGTGGTTCATATAGTGAACTCTGTAGAGTTATTCACCCTGAGGTCATTACAGAGGACAAGGGAGCACTCTTTACGTCTGGAGGAAAAGAAATTTAATTTCCAAATACGGAAAGGTTTCTTCACAGTGAGAGCTGTGAAAATGGGAATACACTCCCTCAAAAGTTGGCAAAAAAAGAATAAGACAGGGTGCACTCTCCTCATGCATTAACGTGATAATTTGTAAAAAAAAAAAATCACAAGTGCATACTTCGCAAATCAAATGGTCATAACGGAGACAAGGAGCCAAAGATGACGGTCCCAGATAGCGGGGGTATATGTTGGAGTTCCCTCAAGAGTTGGTTCTGGCCAGCTCAGTAAATTGCTTTAAAAAAGTCCTGGATTCTTTCTTAGATACACAGAATATAACTGGATATAACATTTATAGGTAAAGTTGATCCAGGGAATATCCAATTGCCTCTCGGGGGATCAGAAAGGAATTTTTTTTTTCCCCCATGAGGGAACAAATTGGATCATGCTTTGCTGGGTTTTTTTGCCTTCCTCTGGATCAACTGTGGGTATAGGATTATAACTTTTGGTTGAACTGGATGGAATTTTGTCTTTTTTTTTTTTTTTTTAGCCAGACTATGTATTCTTAAAGCGAAACTTCACTCTCAATTAACATGGATTATCTTGAATCCTTATGCTGCTAGCATTAGTTAATAGAAAAGTATATTATCATTTACCCTTTTTTTTTTTTTTTTTTTTTTTTTTTTTTTTTTTTTTTTTGTCCTGGTTTAGTGCCTAGGCAAATTGTCATACATCCCAGGGGTCTTCATGGGGGTAGGGAAGATTCTCAGCTCAGCCTATGCCTGAACTATGGGCAGATGGATTCCAGGAAGTAAATTATACATGAATCATCTGCTCTTACTCAGGATGGCCACTGCCAGAAATGGCAGAGGGTGTTTTCAATGACTCCTTAGCAAAATAAAGTATGGAGGCATGGATGGATGGGAGAAGTTTACTTTGAATATTAGAAATGAGCTAAATAGCATTTTTGGTTTGTGGTGCTCTATCTTCTATGGCTTTCAGCCTCCTCCTACTGTTTGTTTTTTTGTGCTGTGATCCGACTTCTGTTAGTAGCTAAGTTTGTTTTTTATGGTCCCACTCTATGTAGGAAAACAGCCACTTTCTCTTTTGCTTGCTCACAAGATGGACTTTGAGTGATGGATTCATAGTGTTCATAGACCAGTGCACCTGACGGCAACTAATGTGCACTGCTCGTTGCAAACAAAAGTGAGGTGGGGGGAAGAGGTTCAGGAGCTCGGAGGGTGTTGCAAGGAGGCCGGCCGTAATAAATGGTTTCATTATTATTATACAGTATTTATAAAGCGCCAATAGTTCGCTCAGCGCTGTACATTACATTGTGAGACAGAACATGCGACAGTACAATAACAAAACAATGCGATACACAAGGGGATCGAGGGCCCTGCTCCTTGGAGCTTACAATCTAGGAGGGAGGGGATGGTGGCACAGGAGGAAATAGCTGTGGGGGATGGAGTGGTAGGAAGAGTGGAGGAGGTCGGGAATTAGCAGGGTGTGGGGTTGGCTTCCCTGAAGAGGTGGGTTTTCAGGGTGCGCCTAAAGGAAAGGAGAGTAGGTGATAATCTGATGGATTGGAGTAAGGAGTTCCAGAGTATGGGTGACGCCCTGGAGAAGTCCTGGAGGCGAGCATGGGAGGAGGAGACCAGGGAACTAGAGAGAAGGTCTTGTGAGGAGCGGATAGTGCATGTAGGGTGGTACTTGGATATTAGGTCGGTGATGTAGTTTGGGGTAGTATGACGGACAGCTTTGTATGTCAGTGTTAGGATTTTGAATTTGATCCGTTGGGCAATCGGAAGCCAGTGGAGAGATTGGCAGAGGGGGGTGGTGGAAACGGAGCGGTTGGTAAGGAGTCTGGCTGCCGTATTCAGGATCGACTGAAGTGGGGATAGCCTGTGGCGAGGTAGGCCAGTGAGGAGGGAGTTGCAGTAATCGAGTCGTGATATGATGAGGGAGTGGATGAGCTGCTTAGTGGTTTCTGGGGTTAGGAACGTGCATTTCATGAAAAATCTATTACAGGGCCTTGAATTCATATTCCTGAATTTCCTGTCTGAGAAACACTGCAGGAAGTTGGCATAAATCGCTTCAAAGGGAAGGCAAAACCCCTCATAGTGATCACCTGAAGAGTTGTCACTATTGAACGATTTCCTCTTTATTTCATCAGGTTAATACCTGACAGAGCTTCAATCTCTTCACTACTTATTAAAAAAAAAAGTTCTGGCTTAGATCTAATAGTGTGAACACTAGGTGGTAGCATTTTGTCACAAACTATGGAGATTTCCAAGACCAGTGTTCAGTGCAATAAATTGGGCTTCTGCTTTCTATCATTTGTGGGATCATCTCAACATTATCAGATTTAGAATTCAGGTTACATTGAGCAGAATCTTCATCATAATAGGAATATATTTGAGATTTAGGATTAAAAGAACTTTAAAGTGGTTGTAAAGTCTTACATATACCCCATGAAGTGACTGGTGTCAGGTGATACACAGAGATGAAACAAACCCTCCTACATAACTTATATCTGTTCATCTACATTCTTCTCTAGCTGTTCAAAGTGCAGATTTTAAAAAGCTTGTCTGAGCTGCCAGAAAGCAGGGGACAGAGAGCTAAAGTTACTCTGCAGAACTCAATGAGGAGAGAGCTGAATGCAAGGAAGAGCCCCCCCCCCCTTTACACAGCTCACAGGAACAGAACTGAGGCTGTCAATCACAGGCAGTGTGCTGGAGCTCCCTCCCCATCACCATTTTTTTTCTTGGACTCAATAAAACTAGTGGTCTCTTCTGTCATAAATACTTCTCCCCTCCTGTCAGCAGTAATGTACACTGAGCCATGTACATTTACGACACTGCTCTGTGCCATGATGAAGTGACTGTGTGCAGGAGTAATGCAATTATGGCCTGACCATTCAGGCAGCCAAACAGGGTGAACCTGGTAGGAAGACTGGGTGAAAGTGGAAGCTCCCAGGACCTGCTTGGAGGGCTTTGTTTGAATGGTAAGTCTGTCATAATGTGCTAATATATAGTGTATAATAGCACCTGATGGCATCTGGGGGCTCATAAAAAAAATACATATTTCTGCTTTAAATTTAAGGATAGAAGAAAACAACTTTGCTTTTAAAAAGAAAAAAAAAGGCACTTCGCAGTTTTATTACAGGTGTACAGCAGGTGGCACTACAGCTCTAGTATGTCTGCCATGAGCTGTTTTGCTGAAT